CATGGTAAAATTGTTTTTAACAAGGTAATTTAAAATTTTTTTTAACCCTAACGAGAGGGACTTGATGATTTCTTCCTTATTTATTTATCAGTATGACAGCGAGCTCAGTGGTCTACAATCATGGAGATTTCTTTATTTTTGTTTTGACTCATTTTTTATATGCTGTTGACTTGCTGCGATTTAATTAAAGGAGATTTTCGTTTCCACCAAAAAAGGCGTTGTAGCCTAACAATATCGGTATTCTCTTGTAATTGAGAGGTTGTGAGTTTAATCCTATTTGTAAGTATAGTGCAAATTCAAAAATTCTCTTGTACATTTATTTTAATGATTTTTTTAAAAGTGAGAATTATAAAATTATCTTTGTTTTAGATTACATGTCTCTTAAAATAAAAAGGCTAAAGTATATATTTGGTCTCTTAATTTTATGTAGGGTTTCATTTTAGTCCCTTAACTTTAAAAAGTATACTTTTAGTTTTTTAATCCTGAAATTGTTAGTCTTAAATAATGTTTTTTGTAACAATAATTGTTGTTTTGAAAATTAAACTTAATATTATAGCATTTAGTAATGCTTTATCAACATTCAAGAGCTCAATTTTTTTGTTAACGATTCTAGGTTAGAGGACTAAAAGCTTACTTTTTAAAGTAAAGGGACCAAAATGAAACTTTATGTAAAATTAAAGGACCAAAAGTATATTTTAGCCAAATAAAAACAAACTTAAAATATAAAATAAATTTAAATTAAATCTTGACCGTACAAAATTAATGTAACAAAGCAGACAATGCGTTAACAACTGATCTAAAATAAGAGACTTTTATGCCTGTTGTCTATGCCATCGGTCTAAAAAAATTACAGGGAGGAAGATTTCTTTATTTTTGTTTTAACTCAGATACTCGTATTAATTTTACATGCCGTTGACTTGCTAAGATTTGATTAAAGGAGATTTTCTTTTTCAGAAAAGAAAAAAGGTCTTGTAACCTAATAACGTTGATATTCTTTTATAGGTGAGAGGCTGTCAGTTTGATCCTACTTCTAAGTAAAATACAAATTCAAAAATTCTCATGTACATTTATTTTAATGATTTTTTTAAAAGTGAGAATTATAAAATTATCTTTTTTTAAATTACATGTCTATCAAAATAAAAACTAACTTAAAATATAAAGTAAATTTAAATTAAATCTTGATCATACAAAATTAATGTAACAAAGCATGCAAGGCGTGCTCCCAAATCCTAAAGACAGCCTAGTACTTTGGATATAGATAAGAGAGAAAGGGGTATCCAGAAACCAAAGATGGGCTACGTGTTCTGGACTTATTTCCAGACTCAATAAAGCGCTCACATCATTGCAGCATCTTGTTGGACGCCAATTCTTTGTATATTAATGTCGATAAAGTCCAAATGTTATTTCTACTCTATCTAAGTCAATTAGAGTTTTCTTGTGCATTATAGGATCTTCCGGGTGGTGGTTTTACTGCTTTTAAAAAGACCTTTACCCACAATTAATCCTGTTTAATTTTTCCTTGTGTTTCCAAATGAATGATTAAATCGTTGAAATTATGAGGTGGACTTCTTATATCTTATGGATATGGATTTGCCTTAATTATGAGGTCTTGTGCACCAAAACCGTATTCCCTCTTTAGTAGTGAGTTTTCAAGTAATTTGTTAGAAATTCTAATGAGGGACAGAAAATTTTAAAACCATAATGACAGACTAATGAGGTTGCCTCGGCAATGATCTGTGGGCATACAAGAACTTGAAGAAAATCTACGTACAGAATAATTTGACAGCAGATATTTGTAAATATTGTACTCACGTTTTCTCTTTCACTAACAGCTTTGACATGTTGAGTTGTTCTGTTTAATTACTCTTGTTCTTAATTCAAACAGGGGGGAAAAAAACCCTTCAGTCGATCTTTCTTTTTTTTTTTTTTATCTCATGAGTATTATTGCAGTTTCATTAACTTGTGCGGAAGTTATCTTCATCAAAAACTCCACAAAACAAAGAAGAACATTTCTTGGTAAAGGCAAGAATCCATGTAATTATAATAATGATATAACTATTTTTGTTAATCGAGCATATTTCAAGGTTTTCAAAGTGGATATATAAAGAATCTCACATCATTAGGGAAGCTTCAAATTGATGGTTGCAGTTATTTTGATTCACAATAGAACAGCAAATCTCACTTCATAATTACAGAGACTAATTGAACTCTTCTAAGAATGCTCTAAATTGGCATCTTTTCCATAATATATAAACAGTGTCACGTCATTATTAAAGAGGCTTAAACTCATAAAGTGCTCTGTTTTGGCATCACATCAAGCGTCCACAAAGAATCTAATATATGTATCATATGTACATGCAGGGTTTTCAAAATTGTTCACATTCCAAATGCTCTTTTGGAATAAAGAGTTGGTGTCTTGTTACCTTCACTTATTCGAGGTCCTTTATTATTTGTTAGAATAAAGAATATGGGAATATTCATAATTGGGTCTCACAGTTCGCACAAACTTTAAATCTGCCTTTGAGATTCCTTGTTTGATGCTTGAAGATCCCTGTATATATGGTGTTGGAAAAATCAAATCTAAATATTTGATACACACACTACCTCTGATCCTAATATAGGTATATCATAAAAAGGTGATTTTCCGGTAACATTCTTTTTCGAAAGTAGAAATGTCATTGTAATTTTGCTATTGAAAAAATATCAAACAGATTCATAACTTAAAGAGTTCATGAATAAATACTATTTTTAACTTGAAAATCTCTCTCACACACACCCCCTTACTTTTATGAAACTATTTATTAATGTATAAATTATTTATTAAAGTAGGCATGAGAATCTTGTTATTCTTTTCTCTCAAACAAATTAATTCTTCTCATCAAGAGTTTCTCTCAAACGGAGAAAAGAATTTGTCCTGTTGAAAATAAAATGGCAGAAGTAACGTGTATTCTTTTCTTGACGTCCTTGTTATCCGATAAAGACAATAATTTATATAATGGCAGACTTTTTCCCCTTCATGTTACATTTTTCTTCGAATGTAATGTCACTTGTATAAAGTTAACTCTATTACCACCTGCTTTTGAATTTAATGAACAAAGGTTAAATATTTTAATTTTTAAATGATAAAAATAATGAAAAAAAACACTGCTACGTCATGGATCTTGCAATTAAGGATCCTTATCTTCCTCTTCTCCATTATTTGTTCCTGTTCTCTATTATTTGTTTAAGCTTAGCATAAAAGAAAATTGTTTATATTATTAAAAAAGGAAAATTGTTTAATGGTCCAATTTTGAGCAATCAGTAAGTTATGAAATTCTATTCAAATCAGTAAGTTAGGAAAATTCACGCTCCTTTCGACCAAAATATTTAGAATATATATGAAGATATTATAAAACAAGTGTTATTTTCCATAAAAATAAGTATTTTTAGAAAGAGAAGAACATGTTTGTATATTGAAGATTAAACTACTGTTAATCTAAGAAAAAATGACAAAAAAATAACTAAAAATTTGTAAATGCCAAACAAGAAATGTCAACAAAAATTTGTTGTAATTTGCAAATTCAATATTGTCAACATTAAATAAAGTGTCATTATTGAAACTGATTTGGGATTTGGTAATTTTCAATTTCCTTTTTTGTCATTCTTCCTTAATTCAATGGACTAAAATACATCCAGCATCCTAAAGTATTTTCTTGGGTGCTCTAAAATATTTTGTGATTTATTCAGTATTTTTGAAGTTTTTTTTTTTGGAGCGTCCAAACCCCTGAAATTTTTTTGCTTTGGTGTTGGATGTACCAAAGCATATTTTAGTGTGCTGATTGCAACAACAAAAAAATGTTAGGATGTTGAATGTATCAAAAAATACTTAAATGTATTAAACGCACTTGAAAAAAATATTTCAGGACGTTGGATACACCTCAAAATATTTTATGGTGCTAGATGTACCTAAAAAAAATAGTTTGAAATGCTACGTGTCCTTTAGCCCTAATTTAATTTGAATTTGTTATTGACATTGATATAGCACTAATATACAATTTTGATATTTAACGGCAAAATAAGTATCTAATGCGACATATTCATTGTTATATCATGACACAGAACGATGATGTCATATTGTTTTCTTTGAGCAAGATAAGTACTAACTCCGGTCCTTAATATAAGATCTCATTTCACTTTTATTTTAGTTCTAAATATAAGACCCCCAATCCATTTTGTTTCTTATACTTGTGCTTTTTTTTCCCTTCAAAGGAGTCTTTCTAATAATAGCAGTTCTAACTAATACACTTAATTAGTAAGGATATTTTAGAAAAGATAATATTTATTTATTATAAATAACTAATTTAACTTATTTTTTTAATATTCTCAAATTAGTCAACCAACTCTTATATTTAGGACCGGAGGTAACATATGAATTCATGTCTCCGGCCAAAAAATACCATTTTCTCTCCGATAAGATAAGCGTGCATTTGCGGTTTGTCTCCATTCTTTTTCACACTGAGTCTCTCATTCTTTCCTTCCTCAATAATTTTCCGTTACTGGCTTTAGAACTAAGTAACTGTCTACTTTCCATTAACATTCTCTTTAACTAAGAACGTTATTATAGTTTTGGCATTTTCTGTTGGAAGTACTAAAAAAAATTCAATCGTAGGAACTTGAAGAACATATATCCGTGACGTGTATGAAGCTATTTCCTAAAGCAAGTCATTTTATTCGTTTCTCTTTTGCTAATCTTCTTCACGTCAATATATTATTATTATTATTAGTGGGGAAAAGAATGTGGTCTTTTACTTCGTTGAATGACAGAAGCATCAAATATTCTTTTGTCCTCGTGAAGCACTCAAAACAAGGCTATATATAGCTACATATATAAACATACACACACATATAATTATAAACGCTTCATTATATGCTGGGAAGAAATCCACAAATATTTCCCAACAATTTATCCGTATAACTCTCCTTATCATTGACACCCCATTTGAGTTTCCCATCGATCAACAATGGAAGCCATTGCTGAGAATGTCATTGGGCTACTGGGCTCTTTAGCTGCTAAAGAGCTTGACCTTCTTTGCAACTTCCAAGATGATTTGGAGACTATGAAGAGGAAAGTCACTGGAATTAAAGCCGTGCTTCGTGACGCTGAGAGGAAGGCCACGAAAACTGAAGCGATCAATGATTGGCTACAAAAGCTGAGAGATATGTTGCTTGATGCCGAAGACTTGTTGGATGCCTACTCTGCTGAGGAGCTAGCAAGGCAAGTGATGACCAAAGATAAAATGGCGAAGGAGGTACGCATATTCTTCTCCAAATCAAACCGAATTGTTTGTGCACATAAAATGGGTCGAAAAATTAGGGCAATTAGGAAGAATCTAAATGAGATTTATGATGAAAGGAATCCGCTCCAATTGCATGAGAGCGTTTCGAGTACTTCGAATGAGTGTCATGAATGGAGACTAACCGACCCATTTGTGAGCAAACAAGATGTTGTCGGGAGAGACGAGGAAAGAATGCATCTTGTTAGGATCCTTTTAAACCCTGATGTGAAAAATGATGTCGCAGTAGTTCCCATAGTTGGGATTGGAGGATTGGGGAAGACGACACTTGCTCAGCAAGTGTATAATGATGTGGCTGTTAAAAATCATTTTGAGCTTATGATGTGGGTTTGTGTGTCTGATGAATCCCATCAACTTTCCAATAACACGTTAGCTCAAAAGATCATTAAGCAGGAAACATCTGATGGTGCCCGCGAACTATTAAGGCAAAAAATTGAGGGGAAACGTTTTCTACTTGTGTTAGATGATGTTTGGAATATTAAGAATCGTGGTGAATGGCTTAAATTAGAAAACTTGTTCAAAGATGGAAGAAAAGGGAGTATGATCGTTGTCACTACACGTAGTACAGAAGTGGCACAAATAATGGGCACGGTTGCACCTTTTAACTTAAATGATTTGGATTTTGAAACCTCTTGGGAGCTGTTTTGTAGAGTGGCTTTTCAGGATGGAAAAGAACCTGACAATCAAGAGTTGGTAGGGATTGGAAAGGATATTGTGAAAAAATGTGCTGGAGTTCCACTCGCAATAAGAACCATTGGTAGCCTATTGTTCACAAAAAAGTTGGCAGAGTGGTCATCTTTTAGGGACAATGATCTTGCAAATATAGATTCTGAGGATAATAAGATTTTTTCTATCCTTAAACTTAGTTATGATCATCTTCCCTCCCATTTGAAAAATTGTTTTGCATTTTGCTCTTTGTTTCCAAAAGACTACGAGATTGAGAGAGAAACACTAATTCGGCTGTGGATAGCTGAGGGGTTCATTCCCTTGGATAAATATAAGTGCTTGGAGGATGCTGGTGATGAGTGTTTCAAGCAGTTGCTGTCGAGGTGTTTGTTTCAAGATGTGGTGCAAGATTCTCTTGGGGACATATGGTCATGTAAGATGCATGACCTCATACATGATCTAGCACAATCAATCACTAAAAATGAGTGTTACATTGTCAAAAGTGAAAAGATAGAAAAAGAGAAATTTGGTGATCGGATTCGTCATATGTCAAGTCATTTTGACGGTGCTTGGAAGCTTTCACTTGGCAATGCCAACACCAAAAAAATGAGAACAATTTTGTTCCTACAAGGGGATTTGGAATTTATCTTGAGTCAATCTTCGTCAAGAGTTTTTAATCCGATTTGCAGGCCTACACCATCACTTCCAAAGCGCTTACGTGTATTGGTTCTTGAAGATCAGGAGTTGAAAATTCCAGAGAGCATTGGACACTTGAAGCATTTGAGATATCTTGATTTAAGTGGGAATCATAAACTCAAGAAGCTCCCACGAGGAATCAGCAAGTTGTATAACTTGTTGACCCTAAAACTTAATGGTTGTTTATCTTTGGCATCACTTCCAGAGTCCATCAGAAATCTCACATCATTGCGGTCTCTTAACCTCTCTAACTGCACTTCCTTGGCATCACTTCCAGAGTCCATCGGAAATCTCACATCATTGCAGTCTCTTAGCCTCTCTAGCTGCACTTCTTTGGCATCACTTCCAGAGTCCATCGGAAATCTCACATCATTGCAGTCTCTTAACCTCTCTCGCTGCACTTCTTTGGCATCACTTCCAGAGTCCATCAGAAATCTCACATCATTGCAGTCTCTTGACCTCTCTGCCTGCACTTCTTTGGCATCACTTCCAGAGTCCATCGGAAATCTCACATCATTGCAGTCTCTTCGCCTCTCTAGCTGCACTTCTTTGGCATCACTTCCAGAGTCCATCGGAAATCTCACATCATTGCAGTCTCTTAACCTCTCTGGCTGCACTTCTTTGGCATCACCTCCGCAATCCATCAGAAATCTTACATCATTGCAGTCTCTTGACCTCTCTGGCTCCACTTCTTTGGCATCACTTCCGGAGTCCATCGGAAATCTCACATCATTGCAGTCTCTTAACCTCTATAGCTGTACCTCTTTGGCATCACTTTCGGAGTCCATCGGAAATCTCACATCATTACAGTCTCTTGGCCTCTCTGGCTGCACTTCTTTGGCATCACTTCCAGAGTCCATCGGAAATCTCACATCATTGCAGTCTCTTGACCTCTCTGGCTCCACTTCTTTGGCATCACTTCCGGAGTCCATCGGAAATCTCACATCATTGCAGTCTCTTAACCTCTATAGCTGTACCTCTTTGGCATCACTTTCGGAGTCCATCGGAAATCTCACATCATTGCAGTCTCTTGACCTCTCTGACTGCACTTCTTTGGCATCACTTCTGGAGTCTATCGGAAATCTGACATCATTGCAGTCTCTTTACCTCTCTCACTGCACTTCTTTGGCATCACTTTCGGAGTCCATCGGAAATCTCACATCATTGCAGTCTCTTGACCTATCTGGCTGCACTTCTTTGGCATCACTTCCGAAGTTCATCGGAAATCTCACATCATTGCAGTCTCTTTACCTCTTTCGCTGCACTTCTTTGGCATCACTTCCGGAGTCCATCGGAAATCTCACATCTTTACAGTCTCTTTACCTCTCTGTCTGCACTTCTTTGGCATCACTTTCGGAGTCCATCGGAAATCTCACATCATTGCAGTCTCTTGACCTCTCTGGCTGCACTTCTTTGGCATCACTTTTGGAGTCCATCGGAAATCTCACATCATTGCAGTCTCTTGACCTCTCTGGCTGCACTTCTTTGGCATCACTCCCGGAGTCCATCGGAAATCTCACATCATTGCAGTCTCTTGACCTCTCTGGCTGCACTTCTTTGGCATCACCTCCGCAATCCATCGGAAATCTTACATCATTGCAGTCTCTTGACCTCTCTGGTTGCACTTCTTTGGCATCACTTCCGGAGTCCATCGGAAATCTCACATCTTTACAGTCTCTTTACCTCTCTGTCTGCACTTCTTTGGCATCACTTTCGGAGTCCATCGGAAATCTCACATCATTGCAGTCTCTTGACCTCTCTGGCTGCACTTCTTTGGCATCACTTTTGGAGTCCATCGGAAATCTCACATCATTGCAGTCTCTTGACCTCTCTGGCTGCACTTCTTTGGCATCACTCCCGGAGTCCATCGGAAATCTCACATCATTGCAGTCTCTTGACCTCTCTGGCTGCACTTCTTTGGCATCACCTCCGCAATCCATCGGAAATCTTACATCATTGCAGTCTCTTGACCTCTCTGGTTGCACTTCTTTGGCATCACTTCCGGAGTCCATCGGAAATCTCACATCATTGCAGTCTCTTAACCTCTATAGCTGTACCTCTTTGGCATCACTTTCGGAGTCCATCGGAAATCTCACATCATTACAGTCTCTTGGCCTCTCTGGCTGCACTTCTTTGGCATCACTTCCAGAGTCCATCGGAAATCTCACATCATTGCAGTCTCTTGACCTCTCTGGCTGCACTTCTTTGGCATCACTTCCATACTCAATAAAGAGTCTCACATCATTGCTACATTTTCATGTCAGTGGTTGCTTTGCTTTAAAGCAAAGATACGGACCGGATTTAAAGGGTGTGGATTGGCCAGGACTTGCTCACATACCAAATGTTTATTGGCCCCGGTGAATAAACAATTGGCTTTCTGATCATCCGTTTCAACAAAATCAAGGTATGACCTTTAACTCCATTCTTCTCTTGATGGATTGTTTCACGCGGCTTATATTCCCCACTATTCTTTTTTAAACTTTCTATTGCAGTCCTCATCATGTGTTTGTGCGTGCCGCTGCTATGTTACTTGTTCAGGAAAAGATGTTGCTGCCGCTGCTGGTCAAGTCCAAATTCTATTTCTTGCGCATTTACGGAATCTTTGAAGTTGTGGTCTGAACTCTTTTAAAAGGACTTTGAATCACTATTGACTCTGTTGATCAATGAACAAATTGTGGAAATTGTGCTGAAGTAGAATTTTTATATTTCCCGGATTTGATGTTGTGTAAATGTAATTGCTTAAATGATATCACATGTTATGGGTTAGCATTATTCCGCTTAAATGCTTACATTATACAGTCTTCGCACAGTTTTGAGTTAAAAGCTTCTTATGGAATGTCACATTCAAGACAATATTTCGAATTAAGAGCTACTTGGGCCAAAATATTTTTTATTTAAAAACAAAAAGAAATGGTTTCAGAGTAAATAATAAAATGGCTTTCTTAAATACTTGTTGTGTTTGTCAATTTTTTTAATAGATGAGGAATTTCGTGGACGGTGCTGAATGTCAATTTTTTTTTTATTTTATCGCCAAAAGAGTAAAATAATTGAATCAATGTTTTGGGAAAATTTTACTGACTCTAACTAAAATGCTTGGTGTCAATATGAGCTCAAGAAAATAAGCTAATGCGGGTTTTGACGACAAGCATGGGAGATGGTGTCATCGCCAAAGCTGAACGGAAAGACGCCGAGTTGGGGAGCATCAGAAGAGGTGGTGAAGTGGCATGGAGTTTTTGGGAGGGAGGAGCCATGTGGATCTGAGTTGGAAACACAACTTTGTCACATAAGATGAGTTATGGATAATAAGAATGGTAATATAAAAAATTAAAAGACGAGGGAATCAGAGGCCAATCGAAAGTTTAAGAATTAAGTCACATCGACTCATAATTAAGAGATTAAGTTTTAAGTGAGTTTAAAGTTTTTTTTTAACTACCAGAAAGTAAATTTTAAAAGTGAAGGACTAAAATATTAATTTTGCCAAAAATATATTTTACAACGTATGTTTTACAAAACCATTTAAAAAGTTAAATAATATTTAAAAATATGTCATACAGTACATTTTAAACTTTCTTTTCCATGGCCTGTTTAAATAGAACGGTTGCTGTTTGCTTATTCTTAAAAATACTCAAAAAAATATTTTTATACAAATTAAGATAATATTATTTTCACATACTGATCTTATACATGGTAAAATTGTTTTTAACAAGGTAATTCAAATTTTTTTTAACCCTAACGAGAGGGACTTGATGATTTCTTCCTTATTTATTTATCGGTATGACAGCGAGCTCAGTGGTCTACAATCATGGAGATTTCTTTATTTTTGTTTTGACTCATTTTTTATATGTTGACTTGCTGCGATTTAATTAAAGGAGATTTTCGTTTTCACTAAAAAAGGCGTTGTAGCCTAACAATATCGGTATTCTCTTGTAATTGAGAGGTTGTGAGTTTAATCCTATTTGTAAGTATAGTGCAAATTCAAAAATTCTCTTGTACATTTATTTTAATGATTTTTTTAAAAGTGAGAATTATAAAATTATCTTTGTTTTAGATTACATGTCTCTTAAAATAAAAAGGCTAAAATATATTTTTAGTCCCTTAACTTTATGTAAGGTTTCATTTTAGTCTCTTAAATTCAAAAATTATACTTTAGGTCTTTTAACCCTAAAAGTATTAGTCTTAAATGATGATGTTTTGTAACAATAATTGTTGTTTTGAAAATTAAATTTAATATTATAGCATTTAGTAATGTTTTATCAACATTCAAGAGCTCAATATCATCATTTTTTGTTAACGATTCTAGGGTTAGGGGACTAAAAGTTTACTTTTTAAAGTAAAAGGACCAAAATAAAATTTTATGTAAAGTTAAAGGACCAAAAGTATATTTTAGCCAAATAAAAACCAACTTAAAATATAAAATAAATTTAAATTAAATCTTGACCGTACAAAATTAATGTAACAAAGCAGACAAAATTATTAATTTTGCCAAAAGTATATTTTCTTTTTCACTAAAAGCTTTGGCATGTTGAGTTGTTCTGTTTAATTACTCTTCTTCTTAATTCAAACAGGAAAAAAAATACCCGTCAACCTATCATTTTTTTCTCATCTCATGAGTATTATCGCAGTTTCATTAACTTGTGCCGAAGTTATCTCCATCACTAACTCCACAAAACAAAGAAGAGCATTTCTTGATAAAGGCAAGAATCCACGTTATTATAATAATGAAATAACTATTTTTTGTCAATGGAGCATATTTTAAGGTTCTCAAAGTGGATATATAAGGAATCTAACATCATTAGGGAAGCTACAAATTGATGGTTGCAGTTATTTGGATTCATAAAAAAAAAAAAAAAAAGCAAATCTCACTTCATAATTACATAGACTAATTTAACTCTTCCAATAATGCTCTAAATTGGCGTCTTTTTTTTAATCTGTAACAGTGTCACATCATTATTAAAGAACCTTAGACTCATAAAGCACTCTGTTTGGAATCACATCAAGAGTCCACAAAGAATCTAATATATGTATCAGTACATATAGGGGTTTCAAAATTGTTTACATTTTATATGTTCTCTGGGAATACAAAATTGGTGTCTTATTACCTTACCTTCTTTGAGGTTTTTTAATCATTTGTTAGAATAAACAAGAATGTAATAAAGAATATAAGAAAGTTCATAATTTGGCTCTAATAGTTCATACAAACTTTAAATCTGGCTTTGAGATTCCTTGTTTGATGCTTGAACATCTTGCATACATAGTGTTGGAAAATCAAACCTAAACATTTGATACACACATTACCTCCAGCCTTAATTATAAGACCTCATTTGTAGTCTACAAATGAGAACTTATAATTAAGATCGCAGGTAGTATATCATAAAAAGGTGATTCCTGTGACATTTTTTTTAGAAAGTAGAAATGTTATTGTAATTTTGCTATTCAAAAAATATCAAACAGATTTATAACTTAAAGAGTTCATGAATAAATACCATTTTTAACTTGAAAATCTCTCTCACACACCCCCTTACTATATGAAACTCTTTATTAATGTATGAGAATAAGTTATTTATTAAAGTAGGCATGAGAATCTCGCTATTCTTTTCTCTCACACAAATTAATTCTTCTCACCAAGAGTTTATCTCAATCGGAGAAAAGAATTTGTCCTGTTGAAAATAAAATGGTAGAAGCAACCTGTATTCTTTTCTTGACGCCTTTGTTATCTGATAAAGACAATAATTTATATAATGGCAGAATTTTCCCCCTTAATATAACATTTTTTCTTCGAATGTAATATTAGTTGTATGAAGTTAACTCTATTTCCATCTGCTTTTGAATTTAATGAACGAAGGTTAAATATTTTAATTTTTAAATAATATAAATAATGAAAAAAACACTGCCACATCATGGATCATTCAATTAAGGATCCTTGTCTTCCTATTCTCTATTACTAGCAAATTACCCCGCGCGATGCACGGGTAGCATGGACTTTCATGATATTTATTTGCTGCCGCAAAAATCAATCCCCACTCTCCCATCATCAATGTAATTAATTAATTGGATCTAAATTCGAAAATTAGTTTTTACTGAAATAGGATTCAACACTAAATTGAACAAAAATAATATCTTCCATGCATGATGAAATTAATTCATTTGAAAAAACAAAACGTATGAACTACATGTTCCATCATACACCGTCCTTATAAATTTATGCTCGCCAATTTATGTGTAAAATCATGAAGCATTTAAAAATGAATTAGTCCGAACTGAACAAACGGAAAAAAAAATCAAAACTATATAATCAATAACAACTACATAAATTAGATGGATTGAGTAATTTCTTGAGAAATCAAAGCCCATTATGGCGGTATCTATATCGAAAAATGAGACTCATTAAAACTCTCATATTTAAGCATCATTTAGAGAAAAAAGAATGACGGGAAAAATTAAAAAAACGGAACCCAAGTTAAATGCGAAAACTAATACATTAATATATTATTTATTATTCATTAATTATTAGATATTACAGCATTTGTTTTCCATCAGAATTTGAGTAGACTCATTTTTTCAAAATGCAATGGATGACTTTATTTTAACATACGCACACGGTAAACACATAGGTAATTATATTTTAGATCACAATAATCCTTTTTCTGAATGTCAATCATGTACAATCTTAAAATACTATCGGTATCTAAACTAAAATTTAGATGTCAATGCTACAATGAACAGTTGAAAAACATCACATATTGATTCACAAACTAAAATATTGAAGATCATAATTAGATAGATTGAGTAAACAGATTCAAGAAGTATTTCATGATTTTTAAAACTGACTGCATCCAAAACAGCACATTATCATGTCT